GCGATTTTCGTACACAACCCTGGTGCCTTGCGCGTCAGACTTTAACCAGTCAAAGGTTCCCCGAGAAAATTCGCTTTTTCTTTTTGGCCCTTGAAAATCATGAAATAATTTATTTTTGTTTGTACGAATTTTCTACCGGGATTTGTCTAGTGCACAATCTGCTCTGTGTGAAATATACTACTCGTAGTCAGATTGGTCAAACCAAGTGTGAGGGAGAAAAATCGTGCACAATTTAAGGATGGAAGAAGTTCATTGGGGTTAAATCGTGTCAAGGACGCGGCCTAAGTACGCCGAGGGGTCATCAGCCGTAGACCTATTTCACCGATTCTGGTCCACTTCTGTAATCGGCTGTATATGTATTATCTCCCATTTCGCATCATTTCACTGCTCATGTCGAGAATCTCTTCCATGACTATGTTTTGTCTGAAAGATATGGGGTGCTTTTTTGTTTGCATCCAGCTACAGTTACTCCCATCTCTACCACCTTATATACACAGATTAAAACCGGTCGACTGGTTCATGGTGGTATTGTTGATCCGCCCGCGTTCTATGTGCTGTTGCGTGTGTGGCGCACTTATGACGCGTTAAATTTCTCCTCACTGGCCTGTGTGATTCATCCAGAACCAGCTCCGCTACCTCTGGGCCAAGTCACCGCTCTTGGACCCGGTCGACCCACGGATTTGTACGCGCTCCCTCCGGCCGAACCAATTGAATTTGTTCAGACAAACTTTTACGCACACGGGATTCGCGGGATGGGAGTACAGCTGGAATTGGTACAGGTGCGTTTCTTTTTCTCCGGAAGCCGCTCCCCACCTGGTATTTGCTTTTTGTACCTTTTTTGTTAGGCTCACGTGTATGCAGGATACCACTACTGATACACATTTGTTGCCCCCTAAAAAAATGAAAAATAAGACAGCTGGTCGTCCACGTTGGTTCGGTGCATTCAGAATTCAGCACAGCCACACACTGGCGATTTCCTCCAGTAGTACATTGCTTAACAGACAAATAAAAGAAATAAAATATTTAAACAAGCACATAGAGAAGTATATAGGTTAGTGAATTGTACTAAAAAAAGAAACAGAGCCGCCAAATCGGAACCACGTGACTCGAGAGTAAGGCCAGCTGTCAGGTCCATCGTTTCCATGATTATCGATCGATCTGCATTGTCTATGTAGCATATTTCGGGCGGCGAGTTGTACTACTCCTGTTTGTTGCACTCCCCTTCAACTCATCCGCGGTTCCTCCAGTTTAGTTCCGTGTTTTTACTCCCCCTCTGCTTTGCACTCTAATGCAGCGATTTTGGTTGCTGTCCCATTGATTGAAGAAGTAAGGATTGAAATGTTTGTGTTGGTGTCAGGACGAGAATAGAAAATTCATGAAAATCAAATCTGCAACAAGATGCACGAGCGCCACTATTTTCGATCGCATCGGTTACAATGATCCCGAGGTCCCCGTCCAGGAACCCCTATGCGACGACCTATCTGAACTCGTTTCCCGAAAAGGTCTTAGTTTGACCACGCTTTACTTTCCTCAACCCATCAACTCGCTCGGCAAACCTATGTGCACCACGGCAATCTGTTTGGAGGCATACGCAACACACGTGTCCAAACAAGCGTTGTCTATGGTTGTTAATCGCTTGACTCAGCGAAAAATGAAGATTATCTAAAATCCAGCGCTTCTAGTATCACGTAGTAGGTTCGGAGAACTACGAAATTTGGCGCTGAACAAACGAAAATTAGTTTCACTTTTATTGTGAATGTTAATGTTATAGTGTTAATAACACAGCGATGTCGGTAAAGAATCATATTCGCCGATGTTTCGGTTACCGTGGGTAACCTTTCTCAAGGCAGGTTTTGCAATCAAATGACTTATGTTTACTTGTCTGCGTGTGCTTGTTACCTGAAGTCGAATCGGTCATTTCTGTTGATTTAGGCTTTTCTGTTCTATTATTTTTCTTCTGTTGGAAGTGGTGCACAGCTCACTGCCTATATATGCGCAGATTCCTAATTATATTTCATTTTTTTAATCATCAACCAACCCTTCG